GATATCTTTTGGTGTCAATAATGCATCAGCTACATTTATGGAAATGATGAACAATATACTTTGTTCTTATTTAGATAAATCTCTTATTGTTTTTCTAGATCATATATTGATGTATAGCAAAACTTTGAGTGATCATAGACTTCATTTACGAGACTTCATACTTTAGGTTTTGAGAGAAATTCAATTGTATGCCAAAACTTTAAAATATGAATTTGGCAAGCCAAAAGCATTGATATGAATTCTCAATTTATGCTAATTATCCTTCATCTTGCGGCCCTTCCTCCTCCTTCGTCTTCCTCATCGTCAAACATGTCAAGCCAACGCAAAGAAGGGCTCCAAAGTAGCCAAGAAGCACGTTGAGGCAGTGAGCGGCAGTTGAGATGTCAAAATGTCAAGTCTCGCCTCTTGTCCCTCTCTTTGTCTCTCATGGCCTCGTCCTCCAAGGCTCTCTCTCTTTTTTTCACTTCCAGAGCACCCAAGCAATTGCGCTTCGTCATCGTTGTCTTCTCACGCAACAAAAACAGATTTAGGGGGACCGCTAAACTGAACTGGATACACATAACACCTGACTAATCACACAAGTGATGGATAATTAGCCTAAATTGAGGGATAACTAGTCGCTCCTTAAATTATTACCTATATTAAATTGTGATATCCGTGCTTCACTGTTTAGCTATTAAACTCCCTCAATCATGCCAAACGCATCAACAAAATATCAGCTCGCTACCAAATCTTGCCCATGGGTACCATGGTTTTGAGGCGCAATAACTTTGTAGCTCGCTGATTATCCTCCACAAACTCATTTGTTACTTTGCATGTCATAAGACTACTTCTCAAAAGAAGAGCTATAACTCAAGGCTTTTCGTACTTATGAAAACGCTGAAAGTTCATTAGAGTTTGTTTGATAACCGGATTGCAAACTTCTTAAGCAAATAGCATTGATACTAGGGTACTTCAGCTTGGACCTTAAACTATACAAGCCTTAATATACTGGCCGTCTCTCCTAGCAAAGAAGTTCCTCTGGCTACAACAAGCGACAATGTTACAATGTCTGTTCTAGCGTACTTCAGCTTGGACCTTAAACTAAACAACCCTTAATGTACAAGCCTTAATATACTGGCCGTCTCTCTTAGCAAAGAAGTTCCTCAAACTACAACAATCGACAATGTTACAATGTCTGTTCTTATGTTTAAAAAGTTACTGTACCTCAGTGGAAAACTTTGTTCTCAAAAGGGAATATTTGATGGTATGGTCTGTATAGAATTGATCAATATAATTCGTAAGGTGAAGTGAACTTGGTTTTTCCTAAGTGAACCCATTAAATGGACAGAGGTTTGACAATCAATATACGAGTATAGTTATAGTCGTGAGATGTTATTAGAACCTTTATCACTTTCCAGAAATAAGCTCATGGGTGACTTAGAATCTGTTTGTTGTTACATCATGACTGTAAGCAATCCAATTTTTCCCATCAATATATATATATATATATATATATACATACATACATATACACACACACAAGGCTTGATATTTTTTTGGTCATACATAATATTGACTCTTCTTTTTTTCCTTAATTAACTGTATAACTTTTTTCTTGATATTCAAGTAAGGCAGAAATTTCACTCCGTTGACCAACAGTTTGAAGAATCTTGCTTATAATCTTTAGTTATGAAAAAGCCGTATAATCTAAGGTTTCTCACATGGACTTCTGTTGCTTCTAAGCTCCCTACTTTTGAAATCCAGAATATTTCTTCCTTTCGGTACAGAAGTGTAGGTAGAAAAGTGAAGTCTGTACATTGGAAATACTTATATAGTGAAATAACCACTTACTCCTAAACCATCAAAGCCAACTATCTTGGTTCAAGCGAGAGTCCATACGGTGGAAGGTTTGAAGAAAGCTGAATCTCCTCATCACTAACTTCACAGTAACAAACGGTAGCACAATAGTCCGTTGCATGACTCTAAACGGACAGCTTGCATTCCATTCGGGGTTTGATCAACGAGTAGAAAGAGATCATGTACTCATGTCGATGATATAACGTGCACAGAATCAGAGTGACATGTAGTACAACCTACGGTACCTTCCTGAATCAGATCCCTCGGGGATTGAGAATGAAAGTCTTGTGCTACAAAGCAGTGGACACAACCGAAACTCTAGGAGTAGAAATTACTCGTTTCTGTGGAGAAAGTGCTGCGCATTGATGGGGTGGGATTTGAAGCTGATGTTTCCGGAGCAACCAGTGGCGCTGTACATACGGTCCATAAGCTATGTCTACGTCTCGTGGGCTTCTCGTAGAGTATGATGGGTGCGAAACAACAGCTTGCAGAAAGGAGGCTGAGGATTCTGTGAACGTAGTTGAGAATGAGCTGAGCATTCATGAGAAGAGAGGCTTGGAGCTGAAAATCAACGAAGGAACAAACGGCCATATAGTACGGTGGAGCATGAATCATGTCACCGGAGCGTGGGGCTTGTAGAGCACGATGAACGGAGAAAGCTATGAAATTGAAATATGTGAGAGGATACTTTACATACGTCAGCAAATTGCGAAGCATCATGCTGTTCCGGCGTAGACATGTGGAACCCGTTTGCAAGGAGGATTGACGTTCTTACGAACGGAAAGAATCGGCATATAGGGAACTATGGGAGAGTTTCATTATAGCTTCTCAACAATTCCTCGCTGGACCTGCCAGATATCTAAAGATGTGAGTGCAGCGCATTTCCAGCTCTAATCCACTTCTTCGGCTGTGAGGACTAGAGCAGAATTGAAAAGGCTGTGCTAAGACGAGCTAGAGAAAGGGTCCGTGACTTGAGAACGCTTTCACTCCACAAGTTGCCGAGGAAATGAACACATTGGCCTGCTGTTAGATGCACCTAGTCGATGTCATGATGGATCTCGAGGCCTTCATTTTATCTGGAGGTGACTCAACGGATTCGATAGGTGGTTGGTCAGTAGGTGGCGGTTTGTGCCGTGGGTGCCTATGAAAAGGAGATTGTGCTTCTCCTGTTTCGCCGAAATCAAATCCAGGAAAATGGCAATCTCCATTAGTTAGGTTGTCTGAAAGCGTTGTAAAGTTGGTCATGAGCCGCAAGAAGCCTATCTACGACATAATGTTCGAGAGGAGGGTGCACAACCTACAGTGACTCACTGTCGAGCTCGAATGAACAGAACACGGTGAGTTTTCACGTGCACCATCGCAGGCTTGATGATTGCTATGAAAGTCAGCAGAGCCGTTGAGGACGAGGTCTTTTGTTCTGCTCAACGGGGCGATGGATGGATGGATGGGTAGTGAGGGAGAACACAAAATCTGCATCTAGAGAAGCTGCTTCTCGTTCAAACAGGTCCACTGCATTCAAGTGTCGTCTACAGTGGTTGGCCATAGTTCTTCTTCATGGAAGTCGTGCGGTCAAAGTTCTCTCTCCGTCAAAGTTCTCTCTCCGTCGATACAAAATATGGGTCTTCGGGATCTGAAAGCGAGAAAGGTTGTCATAAGAAAAAGGTGGATTCGCTCGTTAGACAGAACTCATTATATGCGTTGAAGTACGTCCTCTCTTCTCCACAAGTCAACTCTATCACTCGATGAAGGTTATGCAACGAGACCTCCACAAGTCCGTTCACGAGACTTCTGACCCAGCCAGCTCTACCTCTTCAGTCAACAGAAGTGACGTCGATCTTCCTCGTTAGTGTAACTGAACTTGTTTGATGTACTGGGGGCTCTCCCGAGATCGTTCTGTACAAGGCGGGCTCCATCTTCATACGTCGTCAAACTACGCTGTTCCTTCTCTGATGTTTCGTTCTCCCCTTCTTTTCTACGAGATTTGAGGCTTTTGGTGATAATCACCACTGCAAACTTAGGCTACTTACTATTCATAGAATTCCCTAAAGTACATCTTTAGGAGATTACAGCCGTAGAAACTGGAAGAGTCGAGTCCTCACTGTCCTCGAGTCACTAATCCTGGGCGGGTGTATGAGGAGTTTCTCAAAGCCCTCCTTCACACTTTTACGACATTCTGACGGTAGGAATTTAGAGCATATGGTCTGCCCTTGTTCTTTTCAAGGGCAGACCTGAACCTTCTCCTGCTATATTTCACTCCCACTCGTGCATCTCTTTCGACAAGTATCAGTACCGACGGCAGTATCGATCACAATGGTCGAACGAGGAGGGGGAACTCAAGGTTAGAAGGTAAGTTCTTGCAGTGAGACCAAAGCTATCTGCTGACAGAAGTGTCCAAAAGATGTCAGATAATCTATGGATAGTCATACTCTGCAAGTTTTCTCCTAGAGTAGCTTTTCAAAGGACGCGTATTCATCTACTAATAATGTGAGGCTTTCTCGAACGTAACTCGTAGTATTTCGCGGAATCTTGTGTGAACGTGGAAAGGGAGCTGCATGTACTACTGATCAGTACACTCGAGAAAAACATAAATGAAGATCTCACTAGACACAGGTGTGACTGACCTATGAACTGCGAAAGGGTGAAATTTGACCCGCAAGGAGTGCATACGAAGACTACGGGTGGTTAAGCTGCACTATCAACACCAGGTTAGCGAACCAGCCTATTATAACGAAGAAGAAGCAATAATAGAAAATATAAAAGAAGGGAGAACACAATATTCCTCGTATGAAGAATAATTTAGCATATCTACTTCGAAAGTGAATTTGACATACCTGAGAGCTGTCATTACCGAAAACAACCCACAGATTTAGAGAGTAAGCGATAACATCTATTCCTGTATTGTCCGTCATTAAGCTCGTAGAATCCATGGTCTGCATTGCTACACCAGGTATCCCAAAAGACAATTCATGACCTGTCGCAAGTATTCGAAGCAGGAACTTTTAACGTAACCATCCTAATCTACGGAGGAATGTAATGAGGTGCACACCCTTTCTAGCATCCTCAATTGGAATATCTCCAGCCTTAACATGTGGAAACGAAAGTCTAATCTCTGAGTTCGTAACTTGCCACGTGGTAGGTTTCAACTCCGCTGTTGATACATGCCATTGTCTTTCTGGGCCTCTTTGCATGTCAACACGAATGACATGCACAGTGCTCCGAAAAAGCACTATCGTAGCCTCTTAGGTAGCTGACAAGAACAAATTGTACACTTGAAATGATCTACGCTTCCACTTTACCGTACAGGCTCACGGAGCTATGAATCTCAGGAGGTTTGGAATCTCGCTCTCTTTCGCTCGAGACACAGATGCTTGAGTGCATCTCCCCTCCACTATCATGGCGACCTATGACTCTCGAGACTCCTCTGAGGTTCGGTGGACTCCCTTGCTTCGCACCCTGTTTCTTCGTTTTTTCTCTAGCATGAAGGTCGTTGTCTCTGGATCCGTCTAGCTTGTGTTGCACCCACCCATACAGCCTTCATATCTCGACCCGAATGACGAGCACAATGAACTATAAAACACAGGATCATGGGATTAATGTGTTGTGCAGTCGGAGATCCTCACCACCCTGAATTTTGAATTTCTAGCCGATGAACGAATAGAACAAGTCAAGGTCATAAAACCCGTGGATTTCGTCGATTGAACAGCTTTCAAACTGGACAATGGGCCCTAGAGCCAGCTCTCGCTGGCAGTAGAGCTCCGAACATAGACACACACGTAATCATCATTTTACGGGCTAGAACTATGTAGACTTTTTTGAGAAACTTTTGTATACCATTTACTCTGTTTCGAGCTCCTGCGGATGGCTATGCTACGTAGTAGTGCGTGGAATGCACGACCTGCAGCAGGAGATTCGAACAGACTCTGTGAGGATTAGATCTGTATCTGTTGTTGCGTTGATGACCTTGAATATACACAGTGACAATGTACACGTTTAGGATGCACATTCATGTTACCTCCGGTGGTCCTCGACGCCCAACGGGATCTTAGAAACACAGGTATCCACTAATAAGCGTAATCATGAAGGAAATGCTACTCTGTTGGAGTATCTGTGATCCACACGAGGAAATGAAAAAGGACTATCAGAATGGTTGCCCAGCTCCAAGAGTCGTGGACAGTGAATGGGTCAAAATACTTCATCATCCTGCACACTCGAGTATCTGAAATAAGCACTCATGTTGGATATAATGAAGTCCTCCTGGGGCTGGCAGTCAGGGAGTCAGGCTATTTTTTCAGGTATCAGGATCTCGTAACATTATATGCTCATGAACATAAGCCTAGGAAATCAAAAACACTTCTACTTCGTAATAGACAATATTGTTCTTTGAGCAGACCCGTATCGGAGCCAAACAGGAATGCTAAGCAGAAGATTTGCAGCTGACGGGTGCACTGCAGTTGTGAATTGCCTGTGGTTCGCCTGTTTTGTCTTTTGGGGCATGCTCACCTTTTCACCGTGGTGCAGTACTGAACATGATGTTGTTGTACGTTCCTTGTGACCAGCTGTCTGCAGATATGGAGGGATGGAAGTAGTCTTAACTTGCAGTAGCAGTACGTGCCTCGTATGCAGTTGCCAATGCGCCTGGTTTCTCTAATTATAAATTTTACCCGAGGGCCTGAGCACTAGCTACAGGCCGCACTGCCAAGCCGCCTACCTCGTGGAGAATTTGCTTGCAGAAGCGCGAGGATACAAGGCTTCAGGTGTGTGAGAGATCTATCTAATGACGAGACTCGTTCGCCAGAGCGAGCATGTGAGAGATCCAGGAATTCATTGGCTTGGCGACCAAATTGGCGTGCGAACCATGTGTTTCTTTACCTCACATGGAAAAGTTATTTCAGGTTTTCGGGATCAATAATCGAAGCCATATATTGAGGAGAGTGGAGAGGAACTCAGCTATAGCACATTGAGTGATCATTGTGGGAACATTGATTTGGTCCGGTGATTATGACTGCTGCGTAGTGTACTCCATTCACTTCCTTGTGAATGAGGTCTGGGCAAGCTTTGAAGCCTCCGATTACAATGCCGCGCATGACACACACTCTCTCTCTCTCTCTAAAATCGATCTGCGATTGTTCCTTCAGCTTCAATGGTTGACGTTCGAAACGCCAAGCATTGAGTACTCTCTACCTCTCTCTTGGCGCTTATGTACACAAGAAGGCACAGTCCATAACGTCCATCAAGGAATGTCACAGGCGCTGTGGTTGTTAGCTCTTCATAATGAGTTGACTCGGATGTAAAGAAGAAAGATGAATTGATGAAGGAAAGCGACAGGACTGCCAGATCCTTTGAGCACCATCCAAGGATAGGAAAAAAACAAAAATGTTGGCAATCCGTGAAGTCAATCTTCTTCGTTCTTCATAACTTCGTGCACTACGATTGCAGAGCAAAGCAGAGCAGACAAGAGAGAAGAAGTCTTCGGGTGATACATCGACCCTCCGACACTCCACCGCTCACTTTCACAGACCCAGAAAGTAAACCCTCGCATCCCTGGGCAGCTGCTCATCCTCTCGACACCCCTGCGGAACCCAATCATCGATCCCTCCCACTCAGTCACGAAGCTTCGTCTTGACATTGCCATGGGAGGTGGCTACACCAGAACTTTCCAGAATGCCCAGAAGTCGACTGGGGCCCCAACGCAGCAGCGATCACTTGCCAAGCCCCAACCAACAACACGAGCCCGATCATCCTATGACCCAAGCTTCGCCACAGTCTGCTGCTCGGCCTGGATCATCAGCGCCACTGTCCTCACCGAATCTCGAAACTCCAATCTGTCAGAAGGCTCAGAACTCCGATGATGCCTCGCCTTTGTCCCCGGACAGCGTCTTAATTGGAAGAGCTTAATAATTGCTCCCGGTGGGAAGGTTTGCGCCTGTCAAGGCGGGGGGATATTTGGAGGGAAAAGCCAAAAGGGGGCTCACAGAGTCACACGAAACGAAATCCGACCCTCGAGAGGGTTCTGGAGAGAGGCGCTGAGTGGCGTCTGACATCTGAGCCCCCCGGACGAACCTACCCCCTCCCCTAGCCCAGGCCCCGCTGCCCAGGGCTCCGATTGGGCGGCTCCGGAAGGAAGATCCGGAATCTCGGCGCGCATTTATCCAGGTGTCGGCCCGAGTGCAAGTCAACCCCCGCTCGCGCTTCGGTCGACGGCCGAACGTTGCCGAGGTGAACGTTCGAGGCTGCAGGGGCTTGAATGCGTTCGGCTCGTTGCCAAGCGAGCCCCGAGCCACGAGCCACGGCCGCCGTGGCACCCCGCTCGCTGCCACGCCTCCGCGCCTCGTCACCGCCGGTATGGGCCAAGTCATACGCGCGGCTCGAAAGGGTGGGTGGAGTTTGGCCATGACCCCATCATCGCTTCCCATCTCGTCTTCGTCCTCGTCGTAGAGGAGCAGCACGGTCGAAGCTCGAGCACGAAAGAGGGAAAGCTGGATCGATCGAGGAGTTAATAGACGACAACACGGACGATGTTCCATCAATGCTCGTGAGCCTTGTAGCGAGCGGACTGCTGCGCTTCGTGTGTCGTCCATGTTATGGTCATTATGAGTTCCATGGCATAGTGTCGAGATAAGGTGCGGTGACTGGGTCTGGGCCGAGCTCTCGCTCGTCTAGTGTCGACGAGCGAGCGCCTCGTCACGCAGCCTCGATGAACTTTTCGTTGGTTAGGGGGGGGGGGCAGCGCACGGGGCCAAGCGGCCAAGTCAGCACGAGGATCCTCACGATACGCAAGTCACCGCTTCCCGAGAAGGGAAAGAAGGCGATCGAGAGGTCAAAAGCGGGGGAACTCTGCATCGTAGCAGATATACACAATCTCCGTCAATTTATGTTCCTGGAAAAGTCATCGCCGTGACAACAACTTTCTCCCAACCGACCCTTTTGCGAAACGGCTTTTGCGACCCTATCTAGTGGATATGAGACATTTCAGCCTGTGCTAACCAAATAAAAAACATTTCATTGCTTTTCGTAGGAATGTGTCACCTTTCTAGGATCCCTAGCCCATACTCGAGACCTGATCTAGTGGATTCGAGCAAATTTAATTGAATTGAATGTTGAAGAAACATTTCATTTCTTTGCAGGGGAGTGAGTAACTTGTCTACGATCTCTATGAGTTACGTATATTGGGATTATAGGAATTTTGATGGCTCACTATAGACCTATTGTCCATTGCTTTGGAAAAACTAGTAGTAGATGATCCTTGTTAAGTAGACGATACACATAATATTATGAACTATGTACACCATATCAGGAAAGACTTTATCTCTTATGCTTGACTACGTAGTCTCATATCGTCTGCTTGAAAATGAGTGGGTCTGAATGAACTCATGTTATCGTTCGGGTATCCTTATTTATCTCTAGTAGTCAATAGGATGCATTGACAAACTGGTAACTCATCTTTGAAGTGCTCAAGTACTTTAACACAACATTTTCTGATGATATTTCCCATTAGACTGGCTTTCTATTAGAAAAGACTCTTACAACATTCAATATACTCCCTTTTGGATTTCAAGAAAGCTCTATATTATAAAGCGTGAAAGGTAATTTCTCTTGGATTTTTCATCATGACCTGCTAAAATTCATCTTAAATTCAATTCCAAAAATTGTGAGCTTCAGCCACTGTTAGAATGAGTCATCAATCATCCTAAAATAATATAATAGTATTATCATCATCCTTATAATCTAAAATAAATTCAATTTTTTTTATTTAGCATATCAGCATGTTATAATAACAAACATTCAACTCTCAATACAGAGGACCATGTTCAGATTCTGTAATTTTCTGTCAGTCAATCTTAAACTGATTAATGGATAAGGATGTTCCACAAGAAAGGTATACAATAATTTATATCAAGATAATGTAACTTTACATGCAATATTCTCAACAATCTTTTTCCCTTGATCTGTTGTAAAATATATATTCTCAATAATTCAGCATTTTTATTGTCTTAAATTATGTTCTTCCATTCTTAGGTTTTAAAATTTTCCGAATAGATTTGGTCAAGCACGTTTACACTCCCACTTGGGTTCCTTGTCATTGGTGTCTTCAGTAATTTTTTTAAATTTTTTTTTGGATTGCTACAATAATGAATTACTGAATTCGCTAAAATGAATTAATTTTTTTGGATTGCTACAATATTAATCTCGATTAATTATCCCAAATCTTGTTTTCAAAGTAAATCAGAAACTGATTATCCTATTTTTCTGTCTGGGCGTAAGGCATGAAAAAAAAGTAGTTTTGACTGGGAGATATCGATCAAATTGTAGTAATTGTGACGATGGCCGTACGAGAAATCAAGACCGACGATCGATTTAGCCAAAGATCGATTTAGCACATGTGCTCCGGTACATTCGCAACCCGCTGACCCTTTAGAAGTTGCAAGAATTGATTTCATGATATGCGGTCATCATGAATGGCGTTTGAAATTCAAGAGCCCATACGAAAAGTGAATGTTTTTCAAGACACCTTTCAAGCGAATCGCTAATGTATGCACTACACATAACGTCTTACGAGTACCGATAGAAATGTGAAGACCATACTTAGATATATGTACGAACACAATGATTGTATCCTTGCGGATGAGAAATGTGATCCAACTTGAGAGGGAATGAACATAATACGATTCTAGATACTCTAGATCGATTGGATAAAATTTCAAATACGAGGAGTCGTCTAAAAGTTAGATGACGAACGGAGACAACCAAAACAAATAAGCTTTAGAGCTGTAAGATATACCAGGCAGAGGCATTTGCACGTCAAAACAAAGATGTCAAATTCGAATCCTCCTGAGTATTGCAGATCATTACTAGACAATCTTCTTGTTGGGTTTAAAATCAGTTTCCGTGGAACATTTTTCGTATAGAATGTTATATTAAGTCTCCGAGCTGATCTCAGCTTTATTATGCCTACGCAGATTATAATAAAATACCGATTCTCGAAGAAGATAATCCTCATTTCTTCAGTTCAAGGTACGCATTAATTCCGTAGAAATACGATGATAAAAATAATAAAAAGAGATAAAAGCAAAATGATACCCGTACACATAAGCGAGAAGAAAAGCACATGGAGCCAAACAAGATATTCTTCCTCCGTGGTGAGAAATTAGAAACTCCAGAGGCGAAAAGAGGATCTCGGGGATATCTAACCTCATCCCTTGAAGGCAAAGGAGATGATGATGATGATGTGACAAAAGGGAAGATGAGGATGTGAATAAAAAAAATTGGAAAGAAAGGGAAGCGAATGCCGAGGGACGAACGAAGGCGATGATGAAGGAACGAGCGCGAAGGAAGGAAGGAACTGCTCCGAAGGCCCACTCGCGTCCACGACAAAGCTCGCGACTTGCGCTTCTTGCGATTCTCGCGAAGGGGTAGATGATGACGGAAGTAGTCCTTGGGTTCCAAGGGACCAGAGTTTGGCATCCACCTGCCATTCACCCGAACCAGACCAGACCGAGCCACGCCATTCCAATTCAATCCGAGAGCAACGAGACGTGCTCTTGCTCGTGTGCGTGGGTGTTCGGCCGGGCCCAAGGTCTCAAATCTCAACAAAGTCTATCCACATTGTTGTCTTTGGAATATGAGGCTCTTTTTGCCGTCAATGGCCCATGCAGATGCATTAGAGTCCACCACCCCCACCGCCTCTTCTTCCTCCCTCGCTTCCCTGAACTTCCCTCGACCTTGTCCTTTCTCCTGCCTTGGCTCCCGATGCTGCTCCCGCTGATGATGATGCACGGGGCCTCACGATTTCTGATGGATCTTCCTCCTCGGCTCATGACTTGGAAGACGATGCTCCTCGTCGTCGGGACTCGGGAGCCACTTACGGCATGGTGTCGATTTTCAATGGGATTGAAATTGTTCGAGGGCCATTGTGGTGATGATTAGGCGAGCAGAATCTTGGTTCCTAGGAACAACTGGGGATGGTTAGGGATGGGGCGAGTGGAGACTCGGGTGCGATGAGTGAGGGATTGGACCTTGGCCGAGATAGGGTTCATGGCCTCTGGAATCACAGCACCTGGAGCCGGATCGACTCGCTTATGCGGTGTTACCCCTGATCGCTGGACTGACCCCTGAATCCAACAAAATAGAACTGAACCATCGTGGGTTTCGAAGGGTGTAGCATGTAGATTCCCGGCCCCTAAACTCGGTGGTGGAGGCGCTGTTTTTCCTTTTGGGGAGGTTCTCGCGCGAAGGCTACTATTGATGGTGGATGGAATCAATGCTCGCTAGCTGACATGGGCCCGACGATGGCAACGAGGACACAAAGAGGAAACGAACAAGGCCAAGATTTGCTCAAATTCTCCTATATTAAGGCGAGTATTAATGTTCGTAAGCAAGATCGAAAGTCAAATGCTTGGGGACCGGGGGGTGTGTTGGTCTTGGCCTACTCCATTCCCTGGTGTGTGTTTAGAGACGTTCCATGCGTCTCGAACATGAAGAGCGACAAAAGTTGTTAGGACTGTGCTTATGATGAAACAAAGTTGACTCTGTTCTTAATAAGGAAAACAATGTTTGTGATTAGCTGCCCCGCGAAGGCTTTGCCATTTCGAGTTTGGCACGCAAGTCTCTTTGCTCTGCCATTCCGTTCCCAACCTAACATCATGGCACGACGTTATATTGATGGAGTAGCTGGTGGGTGTCTCGCAAGTTGAAAACTTTGCACTCAATTCTGCGAAACCGGTGTGGAAATCGGTTATCGGCTACAAACAAAGCTGTTGGACAGGAGAAAGGAATCATGGTATCACCATGATGTACGCTCCATAAGTCAAAAAGAGAAGTCTCTCCTTTGACTTCTCAGGAACAGATCAGAATAGTATCCCTAGTACCGGTAAGCAATGCTGGAGGAATAAATTGTCACTGTACCGTACAAAATTGTTTGGAATTTGTCAAACCAGAGTTCTCGAGTAGTTTTGAAGTGTAATAACTTTCTAACTTTTTCCAAATACTTAAAAAATAAATAGTCTTCGCAGCTTGATCAAATTTTGTAATGCAAAAGAAGTCCATCATCGCAAATAGGACTAAAATATGACGTTTGTCAATGCAGTGATTTGATATTGGAACTACCTTATGAAAAGTCAGAACCATTTTTCTACATTTGGACATCATCTACAACCATAAAAAAATCAAAATTCATGAATAGAGTTTTAGTCCTTCAAATATAGATATAAGTCTGAAGTTTCTATCATCTTCTAAATATAAAAT